GGGTTTTTTTTATACCCAAAAACAGCCATTGATTTTTGGGTTCGGGAGGATAAATTTTGAAATAGGATAAGAATTCATCACTTCCTTGAATTTCGGGTGTGTTGAAGAAAGATTTTGAGCTTGATGAAGATAAACATGGAGTTGAGAGGTGTTGTTCTTAGCTTTGGTTTTCACGCACCCTTTTCTTCTTTTCTTCTTATCTCATTTTTTCCTTTCTTTTAGATGATGGCACGTGGTGGTACTTGAAGTAGTAAAACAAATGGGCTTCTTTTAATTATTTGTACTTGTCAATCCTACTCCTTTTTCTTCTCACTTTCCTATCAAAACACACAACTTGATATTAAGTACCAATTATTATAAAAATAGCTATAAAATAAAATAAAGAATTAAATAAACTCTAAAATAATAAAAGTAAACAAAATCATAAAATAACAAATATAAAACGGCCATTGGACTAATATTGGGGACTAAAAATATAGTATATTATGCACTTATCAGTAACATAAGTGATAGAGAATATCCATAGAATATTCTCATCTTAGGTTTAGGATATATTTTGTATAAGATTATCTTTGATATCTATACATATCTTATGTTCTCTAATATGATTAGGTTTCTCATTGTAACCCTATAAATATTGATCAATGGAAATCACTCTAATCAAGGAGTTTATATTATCTGACATGGTATCACAGTTTAGGTTAGATCTTGGGATTATATACAAAAATTCTCACCCTGCCGGTGGGTTAGAAAATTAAATCCACCGGCGGGATATACAAAGTTTTTTATGCTTCCGCAAACACACATATAGATCTTTTTTTTCTTTTCTCAAAGTTTTTTTTTAGAATCTTTATGTAATCTTGCGCCTCCCACCAACAGTAGCAATCGCGAAGGCCTCCTCCATCATTGTTGGCAATCGCATACACTATCGCCTCCCACTACTGGCAGTAACCACATCTGCCAACCTACTCCATGTGCCGCACTCTATTTCCACCTCCCCATGACCAACAATGATTCTTACATTGCCTCATTGGTTTTTTAACACATAATCACATAGATTTTGTTTGGGTGGTGGTATATCACAATAAGGTCAACTTTTGCACATCTCTTTTGCTATCAAGTTAGCTCCTTTTATTGTTGCAGCACTTGGAATCTTTGTGGAGTATTACTTCTTGCTACCTGGTTTCTCTTCTGAGAATTGATTAATTTCAAGCGGTGGGATTTAATCTTTTCTTGCGCAATTTTATTTATTTTTCTTCAACTGTGATTTCACGTGGTAGTGTAGTGTCTTCTTCCCGATGATGGTTTGATCCCTTAGTTTCTTCTTCTCTGGATCTGCAACTTAGCCCAAGTCTGTGTGCGGCTCTTCTCCTTCTCCTCCGGCCTAGCAGTGCTTATCTCTACTCTATGTAGGTCGTGGCTGTTGCTTCTCTCGTCATCATCGGCACATCTCTACTACTTTCTCTTTTGATCATGGGTTACTATACTATCCTTACCGTTCGATGCGTGATTCAGATCCAGTCTGAGCATCCGATTTTCTCCCGCTCTGACTGCGGGGGTGTGATAGAGAATATCCATAGAATATTCTCATCCTAGGTTTAGGATATATTTTGTATAAGATTATCTTTGATATCTGTACATATCTTATAGTTCTAATTTTTAAATTTCAGGGTTTGTTAGTGTTGTTTAAATGTTTGTAAATATATATGTTTAGTTGGATACTGGTCTAATCCACTAATAAAAAGTTTAAAATTTTATGTGGGTATGATTTGGATTTTATGAGAATAAGGAGAATTTTTGTTTTTCAACTGTTATATTAATTGCAAAGGGAAAGGGAACAATTGGGAATTCATCATTGGTCACGAAAGTTTCTAATTTTATACGCAAAGTCAATTTAATCCTACACGCAATAGCATGATGCTGCTCTTGAAAAAAGAACATACTCCGTATAATTCAAAATGAAAGACATATTGTTCCAAATAAAATATCCGTAACATGAATGTTAAATAAAATAGTCGAAAAACGTATTAGAGATAAAAGTTCTTAATTATGAATTCTAAGGATGTCATGATAATAACTTAAACAGTAGTTAAACTCCAACTTGTCTCGTCATTGGAGATGGTCGTCCATCCCCAGAAAGGGGGAGATAATATGCATATTGCTGGTTTTAGGAAAGCATAGTTGGTTTGTTCTTGATTTCTATTTTCAGGGTATTTCTGTTTTGGTATCTGTTAAATGACTACTCTCATGAGCTACAATTCGTGTCTGATAAAACTACTTTTGGTCAATCACACTAGATTCCAGCATATGCCTACCACAGGTACTTGATAATAATAATGACTACTACCCCTTTTTATTTGGCTGATGTCTGGAAATTTAGTTTCGTTTGTAAGCTGTCACCTTTTTACTAGCATAATGAACTCGTTTCGATAAATAAGTCATATGTGCAATTGATAAAACTCAACCAGCACTATTCGTATTTGGAGTCTGCAAGGATCGAAGATTAACGTCCATGCTGCTATATGATTCAGACATCCATAAAGTGTGTAAACTTGTGTGTGAATATGTGCAATCTTGATTCTGTGGAAATTCAGCTTTTTTCGTATGCCACAAAATGCTAGCACTCTCTATAGGCCAAATCAAAGATTAAAACTTGTTGGTGCATTCATCTGCATTGCTAAAAATTGAAGCACAATTGTTGTGATTTAGGTTCCTACATATTGTTGCTGTTTGCTGATGGTTATTCATTTACTTTTTGTCAGAAACCTAGGATTAATTTTCAGAGAATGCAGGAAATCAACTGGATTCTGGAGTCACCACTTCAATTCCCTCCTTTGCATTTATTTTTCCTCTCCTTACCACGTTTTAATCATTGGCAATTTGATGATAAGCTGGCTTCTTTTTCTAATAATTTGATGATGCGTAGAGCTTCCTTAGATTTTTCTTTAATTTAGCAGAACGAGCCTAAGAATCAACTTTGATGATCTTAGATGCCATTTATAGCTACCTAGCCTATGCAGGATGCAGCTTGAATTGCACTCTATGTTTCTTTTGTTATCGTTTTGGTTGGTTCAGGGACTGGATGGCTGACATGAAACTCATTCTCTATTAATTTCGAGAACTATTCTGTTCATTCTGTCTATGTTACCTGGATATGTTAAGAAGCCATGTCAATTGTGCACGACATGTTGGACATGGATACTCAAATGATATAATTCTCTGTGTCCGAAGTCCCAATCATTTCAATATCTAACACTTTTCTTATAGTACTTTTTCGCCAAATGTACTGCATATCATTTCATCTGTCAAGGACACCCTTGGATACTTGATGGCAGTGTAATTTCATCCCCTTTCAAAATTATTAAGCAAATTTCATTGCTGTATCCTCCGTATCTGATAATGGCTACAGAAGCTTTCCCTAGACGGAGATTTTGGTCTTTTGTTTTCAGGGGCAACAAGAAGCCACTACATTAATGAGCTGGTTCAGTCCTCTATGGAATGTGTGTTCTTCACTTGAATAATTAGCCTTTGTTGTAAAAAAATATATATTCCAAGGCTTTATTTCAAATGGCTTTGGTCGCTGACACCCCTGACGTGAGGTCAGTCAGTTCACAAACTTCCTCAGTTCCTTGATTCTACAGCATTGGGCAGTGGGCACATACATTGCGTTGCCACCGGCTTGTAACTTTGCTGAGACCTGTACTCTTAGTAATCAGTCACTTGAGCCAGATCATTTAGCTTGACCCCCTTCTGTGATGGACATCCATTCTACTGTGACTTCTGATATGGCTTCACTGAGGTGAGTTATCCAGTAATTCAAAATAAATCTTGTACAAATGAGGAGATATAGTCATCCAAAAAGTTTAATATTTGTCTTAAAATTATTGTTACTCTTCTTTTGTGCAGGTCATGTTTTTGAGCTGCCTTGATGAAAAGTTAGTGAAGGGGAAGATAGTACTCCGTAGTTTGTAGCAATACAGATCGATGGATCCTGAATTAGTGAAGGTTTGAAAGCTGGTGCACTCGGTGTAGTGGCACGAGCTGCTCTTGAAGATATGTCTCAGGTTCTACCTATGGCTGCAGTCGAGTTAAAACCCTGAATTTTAATCACTATAATTTACCTCAGTTCCACCAAGTATGATATTTAACCTCCTTGTCAGCAGTCCTCAGCAATAGTAAAAAATGCACTCACATGCATTGGTTTTTGGCAGAGCTCCAAAGGCAAACATTATAAGGAGTGAATCCTTAACTTCTTTTGCTGTTGTGTTAATCCATACAATGTAATTAGCTTACGGGCCAATGTTTAGGCCTTATATGTGTTATATTAGGTAACCACGCTTAACACAACAATACAAACCAAGGAAAATCATCCTAACCTGTTTCGTTTTCTTCTTGAAGACCTAATACTATTGCATCAGATACCCTGAAGGTTATCGCGATTCGCTCTGCTTCAATTTTTTCCTACTAGAATTACCCCCCAACATTGTACGAAGTATATGTTAGCATTACCATCAATTCAACTCTGCCCCTCAAGTATGTACAATTCATCTTAATTAAATGTTCGTGGGCCATCATTTTTTGCTGATTTAGTGGTGGTATTAATTTATGGATTATCCAATATAATTACACACAAGTAGAGCAATATTCAAACATATACGGATATACCCAACTAATGACTTAGTAAAAATAATTTGTGATACAAGTAATATACGGAGTATATATCTGGGCCGGGATTGCTTATTTTAAATTCGGAAGAATGAACAAATTAGACCATTTCTCTCAAGTTAATCACTATATTTTTCATAGCAAACTAGTAAAAATAAAATAAAGCTAGTGTTATCTACTTATCTAAGACTGAGAGCACGTCAATAGGCACTTCTATTCCACTTTTCAGAACAGATCATGTGCACAACTTAGTAACAAATAAAAGTCCACTTCGAATTTTGAATGAAGTTTAAGGCTCTTAATTTACCTATATATATACCCAATGATTTCATTGATTTCCTCCACACAACATAGCATTATACTAATTCAAGTAGCTAAAAACTTCAAAGTAGCAAATAATTATGGCAAGGGCGAAATCATCGACAATGGCGCTAGCCCTTGGGCTCCTAGTGATGACTCTTGTTGGGGAGTGCTATGGCCAATGCGGTGACAATTTCAAGGTTGGTTACTACAATGGCAAGTGTGGCAAAGTCGATGTTGAGGCCATTGTTTTCCACGTTGTCAAGAAGCATTTCAATGAAGACAAAGATACCATTGCTGATCTTATTCGCTTGCAATTCCATGATTGCTTCGTCAGGGTATGTGCTCGATCATTCTAAGTTATATTAAATTTTTCCTAAGCTTAATGTGTCTTAACTTATTTAACAACGTATTTCAACTTTATGTAAACAGGGATGTGACGCCTCAATTTTACTTGAAGGTGAAGACACAGAGAAAACTGCACGTAACAACCTTAGTGTTGACGGTTATGATATCATTGAAGATGCTAAAGTTGCCCTTGATAAATACTGCCCCGGCGTTGTCTCTTGTGCTGACATTATCGTCCTAGCAGCAAGAGCTGCTACATACTTGGTAAGTCTATACCCCTTTTTGTTCCACTTGACTTATAAAATTATTTCGCGTATTTTATCAACTCTTCTTTACCATGCTTATGCAGGGTGGAGCAGATTGGTACGCAGTCGAAACAGGAAGAAAAGACGGTCGCACATCACTAGCAAGTGATGCCAAGCAGCTTCCCAGACGCGATATTCCAATCCCTGCTGCTGTCGATTTGTTTGCCAGTTTTGGATTAGACACACACGATTTTGTTTATCTTTTAGGTAATTTATTGAGATTGAAATTTTAATATAAGTGGATGGTATATTTGTTACTAATTAATAAATTATCGGTGAATAAATATATATTTAGGTTGTCACACTGTTGGAACCGCACACTGTGAAAACATCGAAGACCGTCTATACAACTTCAATGGGGACGCAGACCCTACCATGAACTCTGATTTGGCCTCTTCCCTAAAAATGAAATGTCCTCGCAACGCTAACTCGACCGAGGAAGCATTCCTTGACCAAACTTATGGTAGCGAATTCGTACTGGACAATGCTTACTTCAAGAGAATAATAGAAGGCAAGGGAATTCTTAAAGTTGATCAAGAATTGGCTCTTCATCCTTTGACTAAGGACATTGTCTTGCGAACGGCTGCCGACGAGACGATTTTCAGAACTAGAATTGGTCCATCTATGCGCAAAATGGGTTTAGTTGGAGTTCTTACCGAAGGAGAAGTTAGACTTGGAACTTGCAAGAAGGTTCGCTAAGAAGTTTTGTTCACAAATTGGCCAACTGCATCATTTGATTGATACCTTAATTAATTCATTATTATTGCATGTTAATGATGGTTTGTTGTATTTGTTCAAGTTTCTATTGATGTAATGTTATGTTTCTCCCTTGTTGGGAATTGTTGGTATGTAATTGTATGTCAAGAACTCTTCTAGCAAATTAATGTTTGAATCATTTCACTAATAAATAAAGCCGGTCTCAATTATTGTGACACATATGATGCTAAGCAATTTTTGAATAGATTTTTTAAGATAAAATAATTATATAGAGTTATTATCGATAAAATTTTAATATTTCATATATACAAAATTAATCATAACTTTTAACAAATATCCTATAACTCAATTCTATTTCCATCATCAAATTCGTTTTAAAAAGTTCTTTAAAAGAAGATCCATTTATAATATATTTAATCACACACTTATACATAGTTGGCCAAACCATGTCACCAACTATTACAATATTAGAGTTACTTCTTTAGTGCTATAGGGGTTACTTGGTAATGTTACAGTGGTTACCCAATCATGTTATAGATAGGGGTTACTTAGTCAGTGTTAGAGGTTACTTAGTTAGTATTATAGGGCTTACTCGATCAATTTTATAGGGTTACTTTGTTATTTAATTTATTTAAAAAATATTAGAGAATCAGTAAAATAATTTTGGTTTGATAAAAATACTTTCAACTCAGAAAAAATAATTTTAATTTAAATTCAATAACAATAATTTCAAATCCATAATAACATAGATATCTACTTACAAACAAAACTACAAAAAGTACATTATTCTATAAATTAGCGATATGATACGTATGTCTAAATATCCTGTATTATCAAAAGAGATTAGATTATTGTATTATTGAACATTCAAGCCAAAAAGTTTATCCTAAAATTTTATCAACAATCCTGGCATCAACATAGATACTTACAAACAAAACTACAAAAATTACACTATTATATGATATTGTAAGTCTAAATATCCTGCATCATCAAAAGGGATTAGATGACCATATTTCACATTCAAGTAAAAAGTTTATCCTAAAATTTTATCATCAATTTGGACGTCGCCCGGGCACAAAACTAGCATTAATAAAACTAATTCAAATTCGTCTATTGTTTGATCGGGTTAACAAATTCTTTGAAGGTAGTTTTTCAAGCTAAGGTGACTTTTTGAAAAGGGTGAACATTTTTTTTACGAAGTAGAAAAAAACCAATCTTGGCCTCAGTGCGTTTCGTGAGCGACTGGCCATACTATGTGGCCGTTTGTAAAATAACAAAATAAACCTCTATAACACTGACCGTGTGGCCAACTACATATAAAAATCGGTGCCCTTTTTTCTATGAGAAATTACACTTCAATTTTTTTTTTCTTTGGTTAGGAGAATTCCCTTACAAAAGTAAGAGGGGGGAAATTAATGATGTACTTTCTTGGCGTGAAAATCGAACTCCTCTCACATGGATGGAAGGAGAGCCTCCAACTAACTAGGCTAATTAAACTTGATTCTCACTTACGATGCTGGAAAAATAGAGGTAAAAATTGTTATAACATTAGTTACAGCATAAGAATTTGCCAAAAATATAGTCAAAAAGTAAAGGAAATTGATTTATTAATTATATATACTTCCTCCGTTAACTATTATTTGCAACATTTACTAAAATTAGGCGCTTCCTATCATTTGCGACAAACTTTTTTATTTCCTTTTTTAGTAACTTTTTGCCAGCAAAATGCCCATATTACCCTTACTTAAACAACTTATACATCTAATTAGATCACTAACCTAATTTAACTTTTTACCTAATAAATCTGATTATTGTAATCATTTTCACCAAAAATCATTCATCTTCCCACTTTCTCTCTCTGGTTTTCCCCAATTTTCTTCCTCCTTCAATTTTCTCTCTCCTCTACATTTTCTTCTTCTTCTTCACCACATCTTTCAATGGCAATGGAAAATCGATTCAACAAATCCCTCGACGATCTCATCAAGATCAACAAATCTTCAGGTTCATGGGGGTGTTAGGGGTTTCAGATCTGGTTTTAGGGGTGGCGTGAGTTTCGTGGGGGTGGTGGTGTGGCTGGTTTCATGGTGGTGGTTGGGTTCGTCTGGTTTGTGGGTTTGGTTTCGTGGGGTGGCGTGGGTCTCGTTCGTGGTGGCGGCTGGGTGGGTCTGGTTTTGTGGGGATGGCGTGGGTCTGGTTGATGGTGGTGGCTGGGTGGGTCTGGTTTGGGTTTGGTTTTGTAGGGGTGGCGTGGGTTGGGTTCGTGGTGGTGGCTGGGATTGTCTTGTTCGTGGGTTTGGGTTTGTATGTTTGTCTGGTTCGTGGGGTGGTTGTAGGGGTTCAGATCCGATTTGTGGTGGTTTACGGTGGGTTCGGTGGTGGTGGTTTACGGTGGGTTCGGTGGTGATGGTTTACGGTGGGTTTGGTGGTGATGGTTTACGGTGGGCTCAGTGGTGGTGGTGGTGGTGATTCTGGGTTTTAGTGGTTCTGATAAAATTTTTTTTTTTTTTTTTAATTGGATTAGTGTTTAAGTACATGCCCTTATATTTTAATAATCATGCTTAAAAACTTTTGCCTTGGCCTCCGTGAAAGGTACAATTGTTACAAATAATAGTTAACGGAGGAAGTATATGGTTACAAATAATAACAATCAAATTTTAAGAAATGATAGAAAGTTCATAGATCCTTGACCAAATTATATTAAACGATCTAACAAGTTACCATCTCAATGATGACGACTTTCTAGTAATTAATCAATTATGAATTAATTATTGTAACATTTTGAAAGGAAAGTAGTAATACAATTTTTATTTTTATTTTCAATTTTTAAGATTAAAAATGTACTAACTCTGTTATATGAATATTACATCACTGGGCTTCTAAGAAAGTTTCACAAATATTGCACCATCTAAATGACAACTTTCAAGTAGTTAATCAATAATGAATTAATTGAGTATTTAGCAATATTAAAAGAACAAAGGAAGTATATTTAATCCTTTGTTTATGCATGGATAACGATTGAAAATTTAAAAGTATAGTTAAACTTCATACACTAATCTGTAACACTAATCATATGCTTATCGGTAACCCGGCCTTGTTTATGCATTTTAAATAATCCCAATTTTCATTGCCAATAATCACATTATTTGAATGTGTCACACCATTGAATAATGGTGTGGTGTACGTGAGGCATATAAGAATGAGTATTTGCCTATTTGGCTGAGAATAATTATATTTATTTAAGACAAGGACAATAAAATTTAAATCCACATATTATCTTAATTAGCATTGATCTTTCCCATTAATAGCCGGCTATTTAGATTATACTTCAATTCATATAAAAAAAAAGCGCAAATCAATGATGTAGATAAAATATGATCTCCAATCTTGAGTTACATCCCAATTATGCATTTATATAAACAAAAAATGGGGCTTCAAAAGATAATCGTATCGGAATGCCGGTCATTTCACATAAAATTATCAAGCTGACTATTCTTCTTAGCTAGGCATTAGCTATAACTACAACTATGTAATACATCAAGTAGAGCGTATCAGAACTAGAGATCTCGGAGTAGGCATTACCTTGAACCGGAATATTGCACGTTAATTGTGGTACAACTAGCCAACTCTTCATTAAACGTGACAACAAGTTACCACATTTTAAAGCTTTAAAATTCAGCTATATTTACCCCTAGAATTCATACATTTTCTTCACACAACAAAAAATCAAAAAAAATAAAAATAAAAATAATAATAATAATAATAATAATAATAATAAAAATAATAATAATAATAATAATAATAATAATAATAATAATAATAATAATAATAATTCTAGTTTTAGATTTTTAAGAAGATATGGCAAGAGTGAAATCTTCAACGGCAGCACTAGCCCTTGGGCTCCTTCTAATGACCCTTGTAGGGGGTTGTTATGGCAAACTTGAATTCGGCTACTACAAGAAGAGATGTAGCAAAGTCGATGCTGAGGCCATCGTTTACTCCGTTGTTAAGAAGCATTTCGATGAAGATAAAGATACCGTTGCTGATCTTATTCGCTTGCAGTTCCATGATTGTTTCGTTAGGGTGAGTGATCACGACGTTCATTGATAATTTAATATTAATTACAACCTTGTTATGTTTTATGTACGTAAAAGCCCTTATTATGCATGTATTGATTAAAAAAAAATGTAGGGTTGTGATGCATCAATTTTGCTCGAAGGTCAAGGCACTGAGAAAACTGCACCCCCTAATCTAAGTGTTCGTGGTTTTGATATCGTTGAAGAGGCAAAGGTTGCTCTTGATAGACGATGCCCTGGAGTTGTCTCTTGTGCTGACATTATTGTTCTAGCTGCTAGAGATGCTACATACTTGGTAAGCTAAGCATGTTATTAAGCCTTGGAACATTTTCCTTAGCTTAATTGTTTAATTTTGGACTTAAAATTTTTTATTTTGCAATCAGCAAAAAAAAAAAAAAAAAAAAAAGCGCCTTAAAATTAACATGCATTTTGTTTCCTTTTGCTAATTCTACTCTACAGGGTGGAGCATATTGGTACAACGTAGAAACTGGAAGAAAAGATGGTCGTATATCAAAAGCGAGTGAAGCACTTCAGTTGCTTCCAAAGCCAAGTATCCCTGTCCCCCAAGCTGTTCAATTGTTTGCTAAACACGGCTTAAACACCGAGGACTTTGTATACCTTCTAGGTAATTATTCTTGTTCATAGGAGGCATGTAACACACACAAGAGTCCTTGCATAATGAACAATACACTTTCGTATAACTTAATCATACATAACGATATATATATAGTAATATAATCACGTGTGTATTTGTTATACAGGTTGTCATACTGTCGGAACTTCACACTGTAACAATTTCCAAGACCGTCTATACAACTTCCACAATACCGGGAAATCAGACCCAGCCATGTCCAACGGCTTGCTCAAATCCCTAAAGAAGACTTGTCCCCGCAACACCGTGTCTAACAATGAGGCATTCCTTGACCAAACTAAAGGAAGCGAATTCGTTATGGACAATGTTTTCTTCAAGAAAATTATGAAAGGTGAAGGTATTCTTGAAGTTGATCAGCAATTAGCTATTCATCCTTGGACTAAGGACATTGTTAGAAGAGCTGCTGAGGACAATAGCATATTTCCGACTAAAATTGGTCCGGCCATGCGCAAATTGGCCTTAGTCGGAGTTAACACTAATGGTGAGGTTAGACTTGGAACTTGCAAGAAGGTCCGCTATTATTATTAATAACCACATTTTTACTTACATTCTTTTGATTGTACCTCGATTATTTCATTATATTGCTTCAATTTCTTTAGGGTTTTTTGTCTGAATTCATTATGTACTTGTTGAAGTGTTTTTTCACTGTTATACCAATGCAATATTATTAATAAGATTACTATACTTATAGTTGTGTCTTTACTCCCTTGTGAATAATGTGGAGTTTTAAATCTTATGATGAAAAGATGTTTTATATTATCTTGCTATTGATTTTGATAGGAAAAGGTCTAATAATTACTTTTCTCAATTTCCTCTAGATAGAACAAACGGACTGTATGTATTGGCAAAGGGCATGATTATTTTCCTAAGGGTCATGACTCATGAGTGATGACACACATGAAAGAAACATATAATCATAGTATACTAGTATAGCAACTTAGCAAGCCTAACAAGTCCAACACGGTTATTAGGCCCAAAAACATGTGATGAATTTCAGGTTTAAGGTTTTGAGGAAACGAAAAAGGCGAAACAACTACTCCGTAGTACATACAACTCCGTAGAACCTTCCTATTACATACGGAGTATAAAATTTCATGTAACTAAAGGCTTCGCCCTAAGGTGGAAGGTCTCTCATGAGTCATGACTAACCTTTGGACTCCCACATCTGATCCAAGACCTTTGTTTCATTTTTTTTCCAACAATCTACTGCAGCCCATTATTATGTTACTCTATTTTAAGCTTGTATTTCTTGAAATAAGTGAAAATAATGTAAATAGATCGTGACCTTAGAGTTTTATTGTCACCCAATATATATTTATGTCAAATTTTGATCAGTTAGCAAATAAATGTGAAGCACAGGGTGAGGAGGTTTTTGTATAATGACACCACAACTGGCCACAACTACAGACAGAACAACTCACATGGACAAGGATAGTCGTATACATTATACTCATTCACATCTTCCTCAATAACCCCTTTTTTAACTCTTTTTTTCATTCATATGTTCTAGAGAAAATACAAGCTCTATGTTATATGCTCAGAGTATTCAGCAATAATTTAAAGTACACTTCATATTTGATTTTTAAAAGTTTTTTGGTATAAAATTGTACAACTCCTTCGTACATTACTTCCTGTTTGCTTGTGGAGAGTTTGTACTTTGTAGTGCAATTGTGCGAATACTCGGCAAAATCTGAGTCAGATTAAACAAATGAAACACCGATTCAACAATCTACTTAAATAATGGGGAGCCTATTTCAAATGTGGTCTAATTTTACTGTACCTTTTTTTTTTTAATTATTTATGTATATGTAGTACAGTACATTTATTTATATATGTTGCCGGCCTTTGTACTCATTCATCTCAAAAAGTTTACATAGGTTGATAAACAATACGGGTGCTTAACAAAACTTTATTTGAACTTAACTAAATTAATCGAAAAGTACTTCAATTCTACTCCCTTCAATATTGAATGTTTCCACACTTTGACTTTTAGCACAACTTTAACTAGTATTTCTATGCTATTATATAAATATAATGTTAATAAGTACTAACATTTTGGATTTATCTTGTTGCACATTGTTGAAATATCAAAAAAATTCTAATTTATACTAATACATGATTAAAGATATTGATAGCGAAGCTATGATTAACTCAAAACGTGTCAGAATTTTAGGAACACGGGAAGCTAGTAATTAAAACTATGTTAGAACTTATCTTTGTTTTAAATTCAACTTAGATAGCTAGCTTTTATTAACCTTTAAGGCAACTTATTTATTTTTCATGAACTTGTCTTGTCTATGTTAACTTATTACTCCATTCGTGTTTTAATAAGTGTTACACTTTGATCGGCACATAATTTTACGCAATTTAATTGACATAAATAAAATAAGAGGTAAGTGAGGTAATTTAAGTATTAAAAAATGGTATAAAAAATAATGGTGTTAAAAGCATCCACATTGGCTAGCAACACCTCCTTGTAGCTTTGGGTTGCCTCATCATTATTCTCAGACTCCATCATTTAGCTACAACCTCCACAATGACAAGCTACAACCTTTATTCAATTAAAAAAAATATAAATAAAAATAAAAACATATAAACAATAAAAACAAGAGAAAATAAATGCATTAAATAAAATAAAAAATCAATTTATCTAATCAAAGTACTTTGGGTGTAGTGAAACTACATAACTTTACAACCTTTGTAGCTCCACATTGGCTAGCTAGTAGCTCTAACTATTTAGAAATTGCAAGCAAAGACCTTTTATCAACCATTGTGGATGTTCAAATAATTTATTGAAACGTAATGGGTGTGCCGAATTGGTATATTAATGTATATGGATTCTTAGCCCTTCCCCGATCAATTCTTGTTTGATTTTGTTAGATCTGTTATCATTATCGTTGATTGTCAATTGTAGATGACGTATGACTTTAAATGATATATAGTGTCCTTTAGGACTTCTTTAAAAAAAAAAAAAAAAAAAAAAAAAAAAAAAGTATGGAGAGAGTAACTCGAAACCAGTTGCAAAATTTAAGATTTAAGGCTAGACCTGGCAAACGGGTCATTCGAGTCGAGTCTGTGTCGGGTCACTTTCGGATCGGGTTATTTAATTTCAAGTCAACTACACATTCGGGTCGGGTCGGGTCTGTTCGGTTCATACCATTTTTGGGTCGAGTATGTTCGAGTCATATTCGGGTAGGGTCCAAATCGGGTCGTGTCATGTTTGGATTGTTCCATTTGTGAATCAAGCTTAAATCGATAATTTTATATTTTGTTATAATTATAATAAGAACTATCAATTCAATTTATGAGCTTGGCTATGGTTGGAGATAAACAATTTAAGTCATTTTTTGCACCAGCCATTTTAAGTTCAATTAAAAGGCAATTTTAGTTTAGGAAATTTCGGGTATCAGGTTTGTTCGGGTCAACCACTTCGAGTCAACTTTAGGTTGGGTCAATTTCGGATCAGGTTATTTCGAGTATCGGGTCAGTTCGGGTGTCGAGTCAACTCCATTTTCGGGTTGGGTATGAGTCAGGTCGGGTCAATTTCGAATTTCGGATCAATATTTTTGGGTCTATTTCGAGTCACGGGTCGCGTCATCGAGTCATCGGGTTCAGGAATGCCAGCTCTATATAAGGCAACATTAAGCAACGATGTGACTAAAAGAATTACTCACACCTTATTGATTTGAAAAAAACCAACAAAAAATGGTGGGAAAGAGGGGAAAACGAGTAAAGTTGACCCAATAAAAAAAAGGAGGCTTAATTATTTGTATAATTTTCCGTAAGACAGGGCCAAATTCAGAAAGTGTGACAGAGGTTTTTACAAAAAGGAAAGCTGATTAACCGCAGAACCCTCTCTCTCTCTCTCCTCTCTCTTTCCTCTGAGAATTGATTGAAGAAGAGCTTCACTTTCTATCTCCAATTTGAATGACAAATGCTTCTTCAATCACTCCTTTCCAACTGATTTTGGAAATTATTTCAGGTTCTTTTTCTATTTTTATTATCATTTTTTCCGCACTTTTCTCTTCTTTTTGTTATCATTATACTCTTATTCTTGTCATTATAATTACAATTATTAGATTTTTTGTTTCTTTCCTTTTGGATTTTTTTTTTTTAATATATACATAATCCCAAAAATACCCAACATTTTTATGTTTCTTCTGGATTTAATTTCGCAATTTCAGGTTTTGTTTCACATTTTGAGAATCACCCTCTAGATTTTAGGGCGGTTGTAAGACAATGTTCTATATTTTAGGAAGAAGGTTTTTAAATTTTGGGTAGTTTGTTCCAATTTTGATAGGGAAATTTACCAATTTTTTCATAAATTTCTGATATTTATAGTCTTTGTAATTGCACTACTCTTAATTTTCTCATTTATATACAAAAGTTCTTGTCTTTAACTTTTTTTTTTTGGGATGAACAATTGAACATACCCTGTTTATTTACCAGATTTTTCTGGGATCGGGAATTTTAGAGAATTATGAACAAAAAAATAAAAATATTATACTTGTATTAATTATGGCCTTATGGGGTAGTTGTCATTGACATATTCTAGGAAACCATCGCATTTCACTGGGTTGACTACGCACGTTCTTTTCTTGATTGAGCTTTCTTATTTTATATATTAATTTATACTTTCGGTTTTTTTTTAATATTAAAGAGAGATTATACATTAAGATAGAATTAGATTAAATTAGTTTAATTGTTGATTATCGAGTAATTTGAACACTAATTGTGGACTGACACGGTCATTAGCTACTGGTTGGAGGCCACGCATGACACATGTAGTTGCACAAACGCCAGCGGCTGGCGACGTTACTTGGTTTAATTGGACCTCTTCTATATACGTGTTCTATCTTATCATTGTTATATGTATAATTTAATGTCGTTAATCGTTATTTTTATTATTCGGTTTACTCTCTCCGTCCTTGTTTAGTTGTCGCATTACTCCATTAGTATTGGATTACACTATTGATTTCGGGCAGAGGAAGGGTGATGGAAAGGGGTAGTAGGGGGATGTTGTATAATGAGGGAATTCTAATGATAATCTATGGCAGAAATTTCCTTTGAATTCATGTACCAGTACTTTAGTAGAGAGTCTAGAGACCTCGGATAGCCGGATGGCGGATGGAAATAACATTTGTGCCATTGTAAAAGGAAGTTGATGTTTGTAAGAAGCTTGATTTTACACATGCACCAAACATTGAGATGTTAGAGGGTTGGCAACAAAGAGAATCATAAGAAAATTGAAGAAATAAATGGGTGTTGTACATTCACCAATGAGTTAGAGCAAGTTATACGCGTGCAGCAACCATTTACAGCAAGTTATTAGGTGATATGATTATAATTGAGGGAGACAAGGGGTCTAACTGTGTTTAATAGCAACTCTTGGTTGTACCTAATAGGCTCTTCTAATTATCATGTTCTTAAGTATGCAAGTGAGAGTCGTGAGACTAATATTTCCTGCCAAATATAGGGGGGTTTGGGTAGTAAAAGACATTTGTTTGGTTTACAAATGTTTTGGCGGTATCTTTCCATGTAGAAAACAAATAATGAATATGTGTGCTCGATTATTCCCTGTTTATTAGCAACAAAATAGACACAATTTATCATGAGTATATATTATCTTTTTAGTTTATATGCTCTTAATTGCTTAAATGTTAGAATTTTGAGTTGAAGTTTGTGAAACCTTGATCTCATTGGCCTTTTGTTTTTAACAAGAAATTTGACTCACTGTCACAAGCTCATGTCTAGAGCACCATAGCTAAATGAATTAATTTAAATAACTGAATTCTTAACTTTTCTTAACTAGTGAGGGTGTCTAGGGGTTTTGATTTTAGTTTCTGTTTGCCAGATTTTGGTTTAGTTGTTTGTAGCCCTGCTCTTTGTTAGTGATATTGTATATTATTGCTTTGTGCTGCAAATTTTTTACTGTAATTCTCTTTGATAATGATGCTTTTGTGAGTGCAAATCACTTCAGGTTATGAGAATTGTATTTGCAACAATATGCACATGTGGGAATATTTTTCAAAAATACCTTTGAGAAGCTAATGATATATATTACAAACTACTTAGTATTCTATTACTAATTAATGATAGCGTAAGGGGCTCACTAAAGATTGATAACATGAAAGGAACTGATGTTTGTTTGTGTTATGAGAGATGCAGCTATATTCTTTTCTTTCTTACTCCCTCTCTTTCTGTGTTAAGTTAAGTGTTATGTTAAGTTGTTGAAATGTTTATCTGCTATTAAATCTGTTTGCAGGTTAAATTCTCAATAGCACATTTCCCCTTTATTGGATCTTGTTCTCTCTAGGATAGCAAGTTGAAAGAAATGGCTACTTCATCGGTAAGAAGTTATACTTTCTCTGTTTTTTATTTGGATTTGCTATGTGTCAAAATAACAGGGTTCTATCTTACCTAATTGTGAAGGTCCTTTTCTTTGCTTTCTTTTCTTGTAAAACTCTTTGATGTACACCATTAGGTTTATCTTTTCTGCCTTTGCTACTGTATTACTCATCTTCAATCACTTAGTAATTTACTATTATGGGAATCTACGACATAATTATTATCTTTTATGGTAGCGTGGTAATTCAACTATTGTTTTCATCCTATGCTCTACCTTAGTGTTTCATGATACTAGAAAGTGAAACACAGTATTTATGAGAGGACCCTTCAAGATATCTAATATCTGGCCAATAAGAATTTTTTTTAAAAAAGGACCAAGAGTATATTTTACTCTTCAGTGTAGATTTTTCATGACAGCTCCACCCAATTCTCATGTGACTAGTCATGATATTGATTTGTTAATGATCTTAGGTATCTTCAAAGAGTCCTTTTAAAGGATCAGATTCAAGAAAATCAAGTTCTTGGTGGTGGGAAAGTCATGTTGGAAGGAACACAAAATGGCTTGCTGAAAATTTAGAGGGTAAGTAACTTATGCACTTGGCTTTAAGCATTTTCTTTTATCACACATTTCTTCCATCTAGTTAGCTACTAGCTGATTTACCACACAATATATAGTCATTGGCATTTTAGAATCTAATTTCCTTGTGGTATAAAGTTATGCCTCAGCATATAATGCTCTGACAGTATTTTAGTAACATTGTGGAAGGCCAAGCAGCCCCATTCCCAAGACTGATTTCTAGGAGAAATGCTAAGGAAGGGCTTAGTTTGCACTTTGCAGTCAAGCACCACTTCGAACCTTCCCTACCATGAGATTTGGGATAATGATTTTGAGCCATCATCCTCATGTTTTTATTTTTTCATATTTTTTTGCTTTCCTGAAAACAGTCATGGGAAACATTTTAGGTGGATACTGTTATGTAATCTATTTGGATGGCCGGATTGCAAACTTGCAATTGACTACTACATTTAAATATTTGTGCTAACTTGGCTGCTTTTGCTTTTGTTTTTGAAAGACTTATAGCATCTTAATGCTTTTGAGTCGCTTTCTATATACTTTTAGACTTTTTTATGTCAATTCATAATTATGTAACCTCAAAGGTATTGCATTTTCAATGGCATGCTTCTTGTATATATAGATGAATTTACTAAAATTGATCGATGTCTTATTGTATTGTGTTAAGTGAATTATCTAAACAATATGCCAATGGTGTAGAAGATTCCAATTTTATTTTCTGCAGATGAGTGCATTTGCAACTCAGTACATGGTGAGAACCAAACAGTTTTAGTCTTGAGATAGTTGTAATGCTGACTTGAATCCTTTTCTGCAGAGATGGAGCAACATTACAAACGTATGCAAAAGTTGATTGAAGGGGATGGAGACTCGTTAGCAAAGAAGGCTGACATGTATTATCAGAAGAGGCCTGAATTACTATCTCATGTAGAAGAGTTCTACCGGATGTACAAGTCACTTGCTGAGCGTTATGAACATTTGACTGGAGAAGTGCGGAAGAACATTCCGACTGACCTACAATCTCAGGGGTCCATTGGATCAGATGCCAGTGCTGATGTGACTTCTATATGGTCCCCTCAGGATCAAAAGTTTATTCATCGGAAATCTGGTCCTCGAGCTGCTGGCTTTGACTTTTTTCTTGGTCCTAAGAAAAGTAGCAACGATCGATCTGCAAAAGGAGATGAAACACCTTCAGTGTCAGACTCTGAGACAGAATTTTCAGAATCTGATGTGTCCTCTTTATACAGCTATACTGGAATATCAGTGAACACTGGTGAAGAGGAGGTGCAGTCAAGGCCTTTGGAATCAGAAACTGAGAGTTGTGATGTGGATAAGATGCAGGTGCAGCAGCATGAGAGTCGTAATGGATCCTTGAGGAAAATCAGTAGTGGCAATTTTGATGATGTGCATTCTAAGATTGCAGATTATGAAGACGAGTTGAAAATGGCAAGGCTTAAAATCTACCAATCAGAAGAAGAAATTGCTAACTTGAAAATAGAACTCCTGAAATTCACCAGCAATTCGCTAAATGAGTATCCTGGGTTGGAAAATAGTGTTTCCACTGAAAAGTTTGATCAGGAAATGGGTGAAAGTAATGTGCTAGAAGTAGATGTTTCTCAACCTGAACAAAAGATCCGGACACTATCTGAAGAGTTGAGAATCACAAAGGGGAGACTTCAAGCTTTAGACAAAGAGATGGCACATTTAAGAAAAGAGAACAAGGATTCTTCTGACAACATACGGAAAATGCAGGATCTGCTTAAAATGGCTCAGAAGGAAGCTGCTACATGGAAAGCGAAGATTGAATCTGAGAAACGACAGGCAGCCAAGTTGCAAGAAAGGATTGCAAGGTACAAAACTAGTTTAACAGATCGAGAAAATGAGGTCCGGGATTTGAAAGAAGTGATCTCTGATGCTAATCGTAAGTATCAGCTCCATGCTGAAATAACTAGATTGACTGACGAAAAGACTCGCTTGGAAGAGAAGCTTAGGGAATGGGAAATGAATTGTCATTCTCTGGAAACCCAGCATGGGGCACTGGAGAAAAAATTAAATGATGAAATTGAACACCTGAAAGCGGATATTACTGATAAGACACATAGACTAGAAATGCTGGAAAGTGACCTTGATGCATACAAGCTAAAATATGAAAATCTATCAAGTGAAAAAGATGAGCTCAGCACTGAACTGAATGCAAGAAATGACCTAATTGCTGAAATGGAAAAGCGTCTGCAACAGCTGGTTGCTGAAAAGGACGAAACAAGTATAGTGGTGCAGGAGTTAAATTCAAAAGTTGAGGAACTGCGAGAAGAGATTGAGAGACAGAAAGCCTCGATGTTGGAAACCGCTGAAGGAAAAAGAGAGGCAATCAGGCAGCTATGTTTCTCCCTTGAGCATTACAGAAATAATTACCAGCACCTTCGACAAACTTTCACTGGGTTCAAGCAGCTTCATGCTTTTGCATCTTAATATTTTTTGCTTTCCTGGATAGAGAGATGTGAAGACCTCATTTTTCCTGAGGGTTTGCATATAGATCTATAAGATGGATTTCCATTTCTTCATTGATTTTTGTACATATATCATCAAGGAATCGGTTTTGGTTTTCTTCTTGTTCCTTTCTTGTTGGGTTTGAAGAATCAGAACTTGCCATGAGCATGCTCACTTGTTAGGTTAGTCATGGCCGGCGTGCTGACCGTCCTCTTGATGGAACTCAGTTTAGCGATGGACACTTAAGGAAAAACAGCAGCTTTTACTCATTTAACTATATAAGGTTGGTGATTCTTTGTCACTGGTATATTTCGGATGTTTAATACAAAGTAGTTCGTATTTAACTTTTTGGACAGACCTTGAATTAAACTTGTTTCATCTTACAGGATGTTTCCACCCTTTGTACTCTGAATATCTGAGAGGTGAAGTGGAGCTGTGCAGGTCCATACCCACCGATGGAGGCTGTAGAACTGGTCTCGTTCGTTTGGAGCCTCGGCTATATAATTTGACAATAACCTTATTGCTGCGCATTGAACATCAACACTGTATAATTTCATCTACTTTCTTTGGTTTGCTCTTGTTTTTAAACAGAGGTACTTTGTTGTATGAGATTGATGTACCTTGCATTGTAAAAAAAAAAAAATGTTTATGAACGTTGACATAACATGAATAGAAATGGTTCGCGCATGGTGCCCTGCCGTGCATCTTCCCTATCTGGTGTGTTAATGTGTGGAAGTGTACATGAACATTGCATGGGAAGCCTTAGCTTCTTTCTTTTCTTTTCGTTTTTTTCTTTTTTTTTTTTTTTGATAAATGTGGAGAAGGCTCATCTGAGTTGGAACCTAGCACAAAGGGTCACAAGAAACCGGCCTGGATTAGTGGGCATGGTCCTTTATGAGGAGGAAGAACCCCTTATGGGATTTGTCCCGAATTAATCCTACAACCTTAAGGTTGCGTGGTGCATGGAAAGCCGTAGCTTGACGAGCTCACGTTTTACGTTGGTGGGAAATTGTGTGGCTTAGAAATTTGACCGTAAATCATACCATAACCCGTATGTATTATGTTGCCTGTTTATTTCGCACGAAGTAAACATAGTTTAAAATGGCCATTGAAGATTATTAGTACCTACTTCCAAACACCGTCAAAGAGGCTAAGACATGTCAAGTATTCCTCATACAAAGTCATTTTGATACAACCACCTAGTAGTGCGCACGTGATGGCTCGCTGACGAAGCTTAAACTTGATTAGCTGATGTTTTGATGACGTCATTCTTTTAATGAATTTAGTACCAACTGCCAAGTACGAGTACGAGCTTGTTTAGTTCACTTTATTTTTGCTTATCTGATTTGATCTGATCTGGTATGATTCGATCTGATTGTCGAATTCGATCAAATTTTGACCTTAAGTGTATGATAATTTATAAAGAAAAAATATATTAAGTGGGGTCTTGTTAGATTCGTAATAATATGTATTTTATTAATATGTAGTTTTTATAATTTTTTTATTATGAAATTAAAGATATTTAGTAATAAAAAAATTACACAGAAAATGATAATATGATCTGAACTTATTTTTTCTGATCTGAACTTATGTTTTCCGAAATAAGTAAAAATAAGTTGATCTAAACAAGGCCTACGTCGTTTTAAATTACACTTTCTAAGTTTATGTGTTAAGTTTTTTGGCTTTTTTTTTTAATAGGCAAGATACTTCCCTTTATTAAGTGCCTGTTTTTTTTTAAATGAGTGTCAAAATTAAATGTATATCTCTGTTTTTATTTTATGTATAATTATCTACATACCTCCCACTTTATATCTGTTAATATGCTAAACTTTCCTACATACCCTTCAAAGTTGGTGCCTAGTGCTTAGATGTACTAATTGCATAACCAACTAAATAAATTAAATGCATTTTCATTATGTCTCCACTGGAAAGCAAAATATAGTACTCTTTGTAATTATTCTCGATCATTGTTGTCAGGATCGAGATCCTACTTTGGATCGGAAAAGGGTGATAGGATCGGATTACATGTGATTCTGGGTAAAATTGATATTAAAACCAATAATTTTGAAATAATTAACCATGTTTAAGACAATACAACCCAAAAAAAAACTTAAAATATTAAATAATCTAAAAATCTAGTAGGATCGTACAATCTTACATGATCCTACGTGATCCTATCCGATCCTACAACGATCCTACCAAATTTGGGTTAAAATTCCTCACAATTTAGTTGATTTGCAAGATTGGGTAGGATCGATGGGATCGCATGATCCTACCAATCTTATACAATCCTACCCGATCTTACTACGAACCCACCTCAATTGCGATTTTGCTAATGATCCGCATCGTTTGGTAAAAATTGGATCGTAGGATCATACGATCCGAATCGCGATTCTAATTACTATGTTCTCAATGTACTTCACACATAATTTTATACTTACTTCATTTACATTAAAACCCGTAACATATGAAAACAGACACTTAATAAAGGGCCCAAGGGAGTATGTTTTTATGTTTAAGTAATACTTCGCATATCCCTAAAAAAAAGTAATACTTCGTATATCAATATTCATCTACATTATTATTATTTTTCCAAATTTGGACTCCTTCATAAGGAATACTATTCAATTAGTAGCCCTTACCTTTTTGGTTTTTGGCACTTGATAAGGTCATGTGGCATCTAAGGTCATGTAACAAGTTAGACTTAAGAAAATACTAGTATAAACAAGATTTTTCTCCTTTTAATAATGAATTTAAATTCGGGATAGAGAGAGTATATTCAATATTTTCAAAGTTGGGAATTGGGAGCTTTAAAGGGGAATCATTCATCATACTTAAAGTATGAATTGTAAAAGAATGCGATGGCTTAAGTTGACTAGTGAACTTTGGGTTAGCACGGTGGTAGGAGAAAAGGTACACTCATTAAACTATTGAAAATATGATTTAGTGGGACTGCATACACTATATTGGCTTTATAACATAACCTAAGATTATCATGTAAATTTTGTCAAAAAAAGATTATCATGAAAATAAAAATGTGTTCCAAAAAAATAATAATAAAATAAAAAAAAAATAAAGAAATGTGTTTGGATCTCTTTCCAATTCTTCATGCATGTCACTATTAACGGTGGTAGGTAAGATTAAAGAAACCAAAAAATAAATCTCACTAAAACTTTTCCTATGTCTTTTGTCTATGCTTATTTTATACCCATTATTGTCGTTTTCAATTAAGAAACTTGAAGTTTTTGATAATGAGTTAGGTTTGAATTTCTTATTAATTATGTGTTTATTACTCCGTACTATTGTGTCTTTTAAAAGATACTCCGTAATAATGTTTTTTTTTCCCTTTCATTTTTATCGTTTAACTAGTCAATCCCTATAAATCGAGCAAAATAGACACAAAATAGTATTTTTCATCTAAACAGACAAAATTGTTGTGTTCATCTTATAGGTAATAGAAGAGAACATAAACTCATAATATATATTGTTAAGTCGTACTAATATAAATGGTTACTTTCAAATAAAAAAGTAGGTTAAGGTTTATATCTAAGATTTTCAAATATAAAAAAACTACATTTGTGTTTGTGTCACTATTTTATACTTAAATTTGAGTTAGCTGAATGTACCTGAATAAGATATACGAAGTAAAATTTATCAATCATGATAGAATTCAGCTGCATATTACAAAGTACAAGATAAGATGGATGAATGACTCGACTAATGTGATGAATTAAACTAGTTTACCTTTACAAGTTATTAGAATATGACATAAAATTAAAGTCTAATATATATTAATAATGTTGTAAATTATCGGAGTACGGAATATATATTATAGTAGTCTATGAACAAATTGTCATGTGCATTGTAATAATACTCACTCACAAGTTGATCAATTGATAGGGTATCCATACTTAATTAGTTACTTGCTCACATTATCAATTTGGGAATGAAAAGAGTGAGGTGCACTACGTTGACCTATGAGGGTACAGACGTGTCACGTGGCCAACGTGGAGACGTGGAGTACATGTGAAGTGTGAATAAATAATTATCAGTTGCATTACAAAATACTTATCTAACATTAAAGTCAAGATTAAAACATAGTTTCCTAAGTACTACAAGTAGATTTGTGTCACAATAAGAAATAGGATAATGCGAGAATATTAATAAAATTATCATTATTAAAAAAAAAATAAAAATAAAAAAATTGTCATTAATTGCCCATTCTACCCAATAATGTGTGGTATCAACACAAAACAAATAATTACAAGAAAAATATAAATACAACTCTCCCAAATTATGCATTTCTTTAAGTTTTACTCCATAGAATTCTTCTTCTGGAATCTGGATCGTGCCAACAATTTGTCTCAATTTCAACGGTTTTAGAATGAAGACGTCACTTAACTACAAGAATTGGTAACCATTACAATTCAAATAAATTTTTTTTACCCAGTATGAAGATGTACATGAATCTTGTAATAGACCAAAAATTAAAAAAAATAAAAAAAATACATAGTAGTATTTTGTAAGAAAAAGAGGTAACATTAGAAAATTAAACCCGTTTCACAAAGTTATGAGTTAGCAATCTTACCATGTATGTGTCGTCAAGTAGGTATGTTATGCATAATTATAAATACCCCATTTAGTAAGGGTGTTGACATTTCTCCTTCTAATATTCTTTTTTAATTTCTATTATTCCTTATGATGCATTAGGAATTATCCTCGTGATAAGAGTTACGTTTCCTATATTTTATCTTTTTTCTTACCTTTAATAGAAATGCATAAATGTCTCAAATATCTTTTTAAACATCTATTATTGAATGTATACGTCCATTTTTCACAACACCATGTGCAGCGCACATAATTATCAAGGAGAAACAAACGAATTCATATAAGGAGGTTTTGTGGTAAAATTGTAGGTAATCAGTAGCGGATTCAAAAATTATACTATATCAGGTGGAGTTATAATCAATTTAATAGATATGTATGGGGCAAATTGTCAACTTTGCAAATCTATATATAAAAAAAAAAAATCCACTATTTCTTTTCATTCAAGTGACCCCATTTTGATGTATGTGGCTCTGCCGGTGACGAATCCAAAAATAATTCAATTGGGTCCAAAATCAGGTTTATGGATTTGTATGGAGCCAATTAGTCAATTTTGTTTGAAATTTTATTTTAAAAATGCAAATCTATGATAAAATATCAACTATTATGTCATAATAAAGTGGAGGATAAACAAGGGAGAGAAGCCCAAAAAAAAAAAAAACAAAACAAATAAAGGAGAGACAAGGGAGAAAAAGCCCAAAAATCCACTAATAGAGCCAAAAGTGTGGTTTCATTCTATAACCAATTGACAATAAAAGAAATAGCCCGCTTATGGTATAAATTGAAAACTCTTTGCTTTATTTTTTTGACTTGGGACAGATAATACTCACACTTGCACTTAAATAACAATCTCCTCTTAAGTGTGAGCCTATACATTCCCCCTAACAAAAATGCACCCAGACTCTACGAAGCCTATCTTGACACTCACATAGTCACAGATCAGCCCTGTCGACAAAAGGCCTAATGTAGACGGTGCCTAACAAATGGTGCGATCAAACCTAAATTATTGACATATATAGATTGTCAGGCAGATTGTTCTTTCAAAGAACTCAGATGATCTAATGACCTAACGAACCTGACATATACATTAATCCTAAACAAATATATAGTACTACAAAAAAACAGATTACAAAAATGTGGAAGCGAACAACTAATTTAAGCATTTAGTGTCGCGCGCGAATTTGACTCGCAAGCACAACTTCCAGAGTTGCGTAACAGTAGTACTACGAATGTTGTAACCCTGTCTGACCGAGCGACCTTGCCCGACTTGGTGCGCCAGCAAGGAGTCCGAAACTCCTTCTCAATGTACAACTAAGAAGCTTTCCTTGTTCGCCCATTTGTTAGGGCGAACTCACCATGTACGATACAATAGGACAATTTTTAAGAGACAGAGGCATGATTCATGCTATACTCGTATCAAATCACATAAAAATTTGTGACAGAAGAATTGAAATCAAAGTAAATAGAACCAAACCATCTGTTTCCATGCATGACATTTAATGAAGATCATCTACCATTTTTGGTATTTTCTCCTTGAACGAAAATTAAACAAACTCCATGGAAAAAAAAAATGAATAAAATAAATTCCTTTAAATTAATTTAGTGTTGAAAAAATAAGAGCCTTTTCTTAAGCTCACCAACCCGCTCACCTACTCCCGTCTCACTCTTCTGATTCACCACACAACCACGTCAATCCTCTCCTACCCATATAACTCACTCACTCAACTACAACTCTCACCGTTATTTTTTAACGCCGTTAAGTCAACTCAACTCAACTATGGTTCCTCTTCCTCTCTTTCCCGAACCTCCCACCCACCCACCCACCCACCCATCCCCACTTTCCCTTCTTCTCACGCGCCTTTTTTCTCTCACCTAACTAACCACCTTTTATTTATTTATTTTATCCTAAGTTTCATCATAATTAATTTTTTCCTAAAAATTGGTCCCACATAACATTAATCCTCTCTATAAATAACGTTCCACCTACTGAGCTCACATCTCAGTTTCAACCTCTTTCCATTTGTTTGTTCATTCCTCATTTAAAAGAAAAACTAAACTAACATTTTGGAGGGCCGGGGCAAAAAGAGAGGAGAGAAAGATGGATCTCCTTCTACTTCAGAAGGCATTGTATGCGATATTCTTCGCAATAATAGTAGCGATTGTGATCTCAAAGTTAAAAGGTAGGAAGTTCAAGCTTCCACCCGGCCCAATCCCAGTTCCCATATTCGGGAACTGGTTACAAGTCGGGGATGACTTGAACCACAAGAACCTCACCGGTCTAGCCAAGAAATTCGGCGACATTTTTCTATTAAGAATGGGTCAAAGAAATTTAGTCGTGGTTTCGTCCCCCGAATTAGCCAAAGATGTTCTCCACACCCAAGGTGTGGAATTCGGGTCACGAACCCGAAACGTCGTGTTTGACATCTTCACTGGGAAGGGTCAAGACATGGTGTTCACAGTATACGGCGAACACTGGAGAAAGATGAGGAGGATAATGACAGTACCCTTTTTTACAAACAAGGTTGTTCAGCAGTATAGGTTCGGGTGGGAGGCTGAGGCCGCGGCCGTAGTCGAGGATGTTAAGAAGAATCCTGAGGCTGCGAGCAATGGTATTGTTTTAAGGAAACGGCTACAACTTATGATGTACAATAATATGTACAGAATCATGTTTGATCGAAGATTCGAGAACGAGGACGATGCTTTGTTTAACAAGCTTAAGGCGTTGAATGGGGAGAGGAGTCGTTTGGCCCAAAGTTTTGAGTATAATTATGGTGATTTTATCCCAATTTTGAGACCTTTTCTTAGGGGTTATTTGAAGTTGTGTAAACAAGTTAAGGAAAAGAGGTTGCAGCTTTTTAAGGATTACTTTGTTGATGAACGAAAGTACGTTTTTCTCTTCTTTAATTGCTTTCTTTCATTTTTATTTTTATTATTATGACTGTTTGATTAGTGCTTGATATTGATTTTGTTTTGTGGGATTAAAATTGATTTTGTGCTTATTTCGATGGGACCAAATATTGCTGGTTGTTTAAATTTGACTTTTATTTTTATTTAGTTAGTCCACTCCTTTTTTGGTTTAATTGATTAACAGAGTGTTTTTGGTAGGCAAATCATCTTATAATTGGAAGCTAAACAAAGCTCGTTTTTTTTTTAGAATTTAATAGATCTTGAAATTCAGTTAGTGTATGTAGTTTTCGTACAAGTGTCTCTGACTGATAGCAGTAGACAAATATTACCGTCCTAGAATTTAACCTTTTAGTGACAGAGATGTTACATGTGGCCGAGTATATCTGATCTGTCTTCTGGATATTAGTACGAAAATTAGAATTTATAATTATATATTTACGTTAGTAATTTCAATGATTTGACATCATAGCTGATGAAACTTGGTGATCTTTTTTTCTTTTTTTCTTTTTTATTTTATTTTTATAAAAAATCATAAAAACCAAATATTTGTCAGACATTAACACAATTCCGACATTTTGTGTGTAAATTTGGGTTATAACGAACTTCTATTCTATCTCAAATCCCGCTGATGGTTGAGGCGTAATAATATGTTTTATATTTTATCACGCTCCTCCACACGAGAGCTTGTTAGGCTTGAAGTGTGGATGAAAGCAACATGGGCCCTCCACATACCTTGTGCGAAATATTCTACTTGAAAGTGGGGGTAAATGAGATTTGAATATGTGATCTTTGTGTTACGCTGGCTCTGATACCATGTTAAAGGATCAACTCAACCAATTAAGACTCAAAAATATGTTTTATATTCTATCAAAGTACGAGTAATATATTGGCAATCTAGCATTTTATTTTTATATAAAATTCAACATTAGCGTTAACATTAACATTAGTGCTACGCTACCATGTACTTATATACATCGTAATTTAAAACAAGTTAAATGACCCTACACTACGGAGTATATAGAATTACAGATGGATTAAAAATGAATGTTCGTGACTTTTAGTATTATAGTAAAACAAACTGCCTTAATTGAAGATGTGCATATGCTCACCTAATAATGAACAAGATTCTTCTCATAATGCCTACCCACATGATAAATCATATTCACTAGATTGTGATGACTAGGTAGAGGCGGCGGTACATGCGAGAAAATGTTTAGCTGTGCCAAAAAAAACAAATGAGTACCAGTCAGTATTCTAAGTAGCTAAACAACTTACGAAATTAACGTTAGTGTATAATGGAAATAGTTTTTTTCACAGAAATATTAATGTCGGCAGAAGTCTGAATATTCTTGTGATCATTTTCGTTTTACATGTGAATGACTTTCTTAGATGTGAAATTAAATGTTAACGTCTATGAATTACTATTGAATCATAATTTCTCTAGGACAAAAATTAACACCAATGATTAATTAAATAAACATTTATTGATATATTTCAGGAAACTAACAAGTACCAAGGCACAAAGCAACAATGACCTTAAATGTGCCATTGATCACATTCTGGAAGCACAAGAAAAGGGAGAAATCAATGAAGACAATGTCCTCTACATTGTTGAGAACATCAACGTTGCTGGTAAGTAGTGAACTTATAATCCTCGTGAAGGGTTTCCTAATTTTTATTTCCCCAAACCTCATTCGTGAATGAACATCAAAGTTATTTGGCACATGTAATACACACGCCTATTACTCGTACACATGACATATGTCGCACATGCATCTAAGGGGCCGGGGTGTGTAGAGGGAAGGCACTCAAGGCATCCCCCCCGGTTGCAAGTTAGAATGTTTTGGCAATAGTACGCTTATCATTGAGATCGTAGGAGCCCACAATAAGTTAAGCCTGGCATGGGTTGACAAAATCAACTATGTTGGGATTGGGTTGATTTGACCCAATTGCCCACGATTTGGTGGTGAATTTTTAGCTCACCTACTGGCTGCTACACATCCTCCAATCGTTATTGTGAATTATGATGCGGATACCTCAACTTTTTCCTTTTTGAGTTTGTAGTTGATCTATCCTATTCCACATCTTTTCATCTTTCCAAGAAATTGCGATAATATTAAAAATAGTGAATTGGTACTCCATCTGTTGCAATTTAATGATCCAAGTAAAATGGGATGGAGTTATTCATATTAACGGTACAAGTTGATTTTAACTTTTAACGAGTCTGAATAAGTGTTTTCTGTTTTACGAGGGTCTTATATAATACTTCATACTCTCTTAATTTGTTTTAAAACTCATGTCGCTTGTGATTTCCTAAAAAAATGTTCTCATTTATTATGGAGTACTGTTTTTATATTCTAAATTTCACCTTTTTTTTTTTTTTTAACCTTAATCAGTCTAATCTCCACCTTTTACAATTTTCTTTCTTTTCAAATTTGATTTTTTTTTTTCACTCTCTTACTTATTAATGATCATAGATCACGTTGCTGTTTATAAATAATACCAAGTAAAGTGTAACTATTAAAATAAAACAAGTGATTGTACCAAGTGTATATAAATTAAATAAAACAAGTGATCATACCAAGTCTACAATTCTTATGATTGTCTTTTTCGTATATTGGTGTACAATATTATGAATGATCTAGCGTGTAAAAGTAGACACCATTGTATGACTTACCAACTCCTATCACTAAAAAAATTAAGAATAGTGGAGCTACCAACCCCACTGAAAATGAAAGAGGTGGCTTTTAATAAATACTTTATTATAAATTTATAATATAATGTTCAATTGGTCATATTCATATATGTATGTTACTATGTTAGGGTGCAATTCTATATTGGTACAAGTTTGAATGTTACTAATTAAATTGAAATTTGAATTTGTGCAGCTATTGAGACAACATTGTGGTCAATTGAATGGGGAATAGCCGAGTTGGTGAACCACCCTGAGATCCAGAGGAAGCTAAGGGACGAGCTAGACACCGTATTAGGCAAGGGTAACCAAATTACCGAGCCAGACATGCACAAGTTGCCATACCTAAACGCCGTGATCAAGGAGACCCTAAGGCTACGTATGGCCATTCCCCTCCTCGTCCCCCACATGAACTTGCACGATGCCAGGCTTGGCAGCTATGACATTCCTGCTGAGAGCAAGATCCTAGTGAACGCGTGGTGGTTGGCTAACAACCCTGCCCACTGGAAGAACCCTGAGGAGTACAGGCCCGAGAGGTTCTTAGAGGAGGAGTCTAAGGTTGAGGCCAATGGAAACGACTTTAGGTTCCTTCCTTTTGGAGTTGGCCGTAGGAGTTGCCCTGGCATCATCCTTGCCCTCCCTATTCTCGGCATTACTATTGGTCGTTTGGTCCAAAACTTCGAGCTTTTGCCACCACCCGGTCAGTCTAAGCTTGACACCTCCGAGAAAGGTGGTCAATTCAGTCTGCACATCCTTAAGCACTCAACAATCGTACTTAAGCCAAGGAACTAAATATAACCAACTACTAGCAAAATAATCTTTTTGCTCTGATCTTTTTTTATCTCTGTACTTTCACAGCTGAATTCGACTTTCAATCTCAGAACGTTTCAATCTTTCTTCTTTGATTTTGGCACTCTTGTTTTGTTAATTAGTCCAAGTGCTGTTTTTATTTATTTTCATTTTGATTACAGAATGTGTAATGTTACAAGAACAAGAATTTTCAAGCATGAAAACATTATAGTTTATGCGATTGTATACCTTTCTATAGGACTCCTTAATTATAATCTCTGCTTCAAAAACTCTTACTGGGCTTTGTTTCGTCATAGAGTGCAATTCAACATTTTGCAAACTTCCTTTTATAGCAAAAAGGTTGCAGATTTGGCTTAAGATCAGAATATTTTGCCCATGTTTGTCACTAGTAATTGTCCATAGAATTTGTTTGAGTAAATTTCAAACCAATAATGCAACTTTAAGGATGCGTTTTTTAATTTTTACCTCAGCTCTCCACATTTGAAACATATTTGTTTTGAACATAACTTATCAAAGTTACACTTCATATTATTATAGACTATGAACGGATGCAATTTTTTTAATTTTTTTTTTTCTATTGACAAAGCACTTATACTACCTCAAACTTATTTAAGCCTCAAAGTAGATAACTAGATACTATATATGTTTTGGTTCATTTCTTGTATGATAAGTTAATTATTTATTCGATCCCTTTTTGTGATTTCTTTCCATAGATGTTTTCTTCTACTAAAATTTTGTAATAAAAATATTTTCAATCCTCGTTACTTCGCCTGAAACCCTAGCTAATTAATTCCCAACATACTATCACCCATTTCAACACCCAAATTAAAGCATTCTAATCACATATGGAGTACTTGTTATTAGTTTAGAAGCCCAACCTACATAATATTCTAAAAGGTAAAGTTTACACCATGCATACAACCATTGGCCATGTAATATCAACACGTAGTTTAATGGACCATAAGTAATTTATGATTGTATTAAAAAGTGTCTAAATAATACTCTGATAGAATACAATCCTCACCCATATTTTTCTCTCCAACATGCATGTACCCTCTATCTTTGCATTAATATATATATGCGCCCCTCTTCTACCCCCCACATTCTTTGATTTCTTTCTATCTCTTTATCTAAATTTCTCTCTTTCACTCATATAGCTAAATAACAAGCACACTCACTTATATCAATTAATATATATACATTTACAATAAAACATTTGAAGTGAACTTAATATTTTACCCTAATATATATGATGAGTTGTTAATCTCATAATCTCATGTAACAAGTTCACTCACCAGCAAATCATCACCCTCCCCTCTAAATTCTCATACATCTCCCTAAGAAACCTTGCCCTAATTGGCTAATTACCCTTAAGACTTGCTTAATCTCCCCTTCCTACACTTGCACATCATCTTTCCTTTCTTTTCCCACCATTACTTTTGTGTTCGTTGTTTAACAATCATTTTTGTCTAATGATTGAAAGAGAAAAAAGGGGGAGACAAATAAACAATGGACCATCTTCTAGGGTGGTAGTTGACCATGTCAAGATCAAATTTAATTTAGTTGATCACTAAAGTTCTAGACAAGAGAATTGAAATAGTAAGAGAGTAGAGGAATATGAGCTTAGATTAGTTTTGGTTGTGGGTTGTGACTTGTGAGCCGCTCACCATGTTGCTAGTAATAGGGCTAGCCAATTCGAGGTGTATGACATTTGTAACTTGATTTGGTACAAAACTAAAGATTCATGTGGTTTTCAGATATCTAAAATTTTACATCAGATCACCATATACTACCTCCGTTTTTTTTTTATGTGCAACTTTGAGCCATATTGCGGTTCACGAAGCAAAAGACTGAAGGGTAAAGTTTAAGAAAGTATAATGGTGATTAATATATTATAGGAATATGTAATTAAGGTGGAGAGAGAATATTTGGATAATTAATCAAACCACCCACTTCCACCACCAAAACCAGCCACCACCGCCGCCGCCTTCACCACCACTACCACCCCCACGAAACCACCACCACAACCAACCCCACGAAACCACCACCATCCTCACGTCTTTCCCTCCTTTTTCCGGCAGCCCCCTCCCTAACCAAAAAACCCAGAAATCTAACATTCCCCTCCACCACCAGCCCGGACCACCTCCAACCTAGACCCACCCCCAGACCACCCCGACCACCTCCAACCCAGACCCACCCCCAGACCATCCCAGACCACCCAAAAATCTGGCAGCTCCACCCACACAGTCACCCCACCGTAACCAACTCACCACACTAACCCTAACAGAAAAAAAATCGTACAAAATTCCAAAAAAAACCCCAGAAATTTCGAAAGTAAAAAAATTGTAGATCTACGTAGAAAATTAACAATAAAACGGAAAATTAACAATAGAAATACAATAATCAACAATAAAAATTAACAATTAAACGGAAAATTTACAATACAAAAACATACAATAAGCTTACAAAACGGAAAATTAACAATAAAAATTGTAGATCTACAATAATAAACAATAAAAACATGAAACAAAAACGAAAAACGAAACAAATCGGAAGTGTAGATCCCATTTTGCAGCGGCGAATTTCGTTGTCGAGCTTTGAAGTTGTACACCTTGAAGGTCCTCCCATGGCGGAAGAATGTTCTGGAAACTGGAGTTTGTGGGGTTTGTTTTTTCCGGTGAGAGGGTGGTGGAAGAAGTGGCTTATAATGGGAAGTAGTGTTAGTTGCTGAATTGTGATGAATTGAGTGAATGTGAGAAATTGGGGTGTTTGGGAGTGAATTGGTGGGTATATCCTGACATTTTTGGAGGAGAGAGAAAGAAGAAGAAGAAGAAGATGGAGGAGAGAGAAAGAAGAAAGAAGAAGATGAAGAGGGTGAATGGGTGGTGGGTAGATGAGTAAATGGGTGGGTAAATTTAGGTTAATGATTTTAGATTAGATAAAAAGTTATTGTGATTAAAATAAGATAAGGGTAACATTAAGAAAATCTGAATTTTTAAGTAAGGGTAAATTTGTAATTTTCAGGGTTTTTGTTTACTAAAAATAGAAAGAAAATAGAAAGTCGCACATAATAGTGAACGAATTAAAATGGCAAAAGTTGCACATAAAAAAAAACGGAGGTAGTATATTTGATTAACAAATCATCATTATAGTCCTTGTTAACAAATTGTGGTATGATGTAAACTACACATATGTGGTGGTGCTCCGTAGGCTCTTTGGTATATATAGCACTATAGCTGGTTGGGTGATGCTCCTATGGTGGTGCTTAAGGTAGGTTTGATATGATCTTACCGCCGGTTATCTATGATTAATTTCTTACCTTGTAATCGAATCGGACTTACTGTCACTTTTTCGCATTGGCCTACTTTTTTACTTAGATAATCATATCATACATATACCCTATTAACTCCCATCACATGTATTATTTTTCTATTAGAATAATAACAATAAATAACTCAACTAAACTGATAAGTAATGCTATAACTAATACACAAATTTTTATATATGGCTAGCCACACCGTGTGGTAGGGGTTACTTATATAGGGATTACTCGGTTAGAGATTACTCGGTCGATTAGGGGTTACTCGGTCAGGGGTTACTCAATCGGTTAGGGGTCACCCGTTATGTTTTGGTGTGTGTCAGCCAATCACACATACAGAAAACACGTTAACCGACCGAGTAACCCCAGAATAAGTAACCCTTGATCAACCGAGTACGGTGTGACCAGCCACACAGACAACACACTTGGGACAAAGGAAATATTGCTAAAATTTTCATTTATCATGCCATACTTCATAAATCATTATTACAGTATTATATTATACACAATGCAACCACATTTTCAGTGCCAACTTAAATATGAACAAATTGAAGTACATTGTTGGTTAAAGAAACGGAAAATGGTATCCAAACTTAAAATTAGATCTGTCTACATACAACTCTACATAATTCGCACTTTATGACTTTCAAAATAAGAAGGAAAAAACCTACTCGATTTCCCTGTATCTATTAGAGGAAGTGAATAGTGATAAAATAGGTTATTAGCCAATTATGCAATAGAACTTTCAATTTTCTCAAATAATAGAATAGTATATCTACAATTCTATGCTAATCTTACTTTTTGGAGAAAGTTTAATTTGTGAGATGGATAATTATTGGAGAAGTTTTTGAATTTTTAGAGAGGGGTGTTAAATACTGCCAACAAAAATTATCAAAACCGCCAATATTTCAAGTGAAATGTCATTATTGCCCTTACTAAAATACTAAACCCAAACCCATCTTTCTCCTCTTATTTTTTTCTCTCTCATCAACCACCCCCCAAGATCCCCAAACACAACCACCACCACCACAACAGAGGCAATCGGCGTACCAGGCGGCGGCATTCAAGAGGTGGCGGCGCGACCAGACGTCGGTGTCGGGTCGTTGACGGCGACGACGTGGCTGAAAATCCGAGGAAGGAGGTAAGTTTACCGATTAGCTTTTTGTTTTGAATTTAAGTTTTTTTTTTTTTTTAAATCCCGGTGGCTGGTAACCGGCGCTCAAAACTAGTTAATCGCCACCGGCGGCCAACCGGTTTTGAGCGCCGTTTAACGGCCAGCAGCTTTTTTTTTTTAACTTATTCTAATTAATTGTTATTATTATTACATAATAATTATAATTAATTTTATTATTATTAGATAATTATTATGATTAACTGTTATTATTATTAGTAGTCTGGTGTAGATGGTGGTGGTTGACGTGGTGGTTGTGGGTTGTAGTGGTCGACATGGTGGCGTGGGTGGTACCGGTGGTGTGATTGGTGGTGGTTGATGTGGTTGTTTTAGAAGTGGTGGATGGAATCATGGAATAAAGTTAGAGAAAGAAAATGGGGAAGATTTTAGTAAGGGCAATGTAGTCCCTTTGCTTGAAATGTTGACAGTTTGATAAATTTTGTTGGTAGTATTTAGCAATCCACTTTTTAGATGGAATCCGTTAAATTGGGGTATTGAAAATTTGAAAAGTTGTTAAAGGTTTTGGGTTTTAAAATTTTTATCTAGATATCCTCATTTCTTAAGTATATCTATATAAAAGAAATGCGATGAGCTCCAACATAGATACGTACTATGTATAATTTTTTTAAATCTTATTTGTGTGTTTTACTATATGTATTATGTGCCCATTATTATTAATGATGCAAAATCAACAAATGCTTTCATACCAAAATATATACTATTGCGGTGTACCCTTATTAAGTTCAATGGGGCACAATTGCATA